CTTTAGGGTCCCTTCCAACTCAGAATGAAGAGGGCAGTAATTAAAGCTGGGTCACTGGGTTAGAGAGTGTCAGCAGCACTTGTAGTCAGAGTCATTCCGCAGCAAAGAAAAAACAGGTCTTAGCACCTGGTTAGTCAGTCAGTCAGTCAGTCAGTCAACAAGCACTTATTAGGCACTTGCTGTGTGCCAGGAATTGGGCTAAGGCTGAAGGAATGATGAGTTAACCAAGGCTGAAGGTCCCAGAGGTTGGATAAGGCAGAACTGTGCGTGCACTGTCAGAGGCCGTCACTGACCTGGGTGTTCTCACTTGTCTGCATCTCTTCATGATGAGGGCCGCTTATGTGGAGAAAAGATCCAGAACCTCCCAGAACGCCAGCGCTTCTTTACTACCTGTGTGACCAGGGCCACGTCACAACTTTCCTAAACCTTAACGTCCTCATCTAGGAAATGAGGATAATACTCCCAGGCCTTTCTAGAATAACAAAATCCATTCTGTGAAAACTGCAGACAAAAGTCCACATAAGGAAAACCCTACCTCCATTCATTTTGATGGGAAAAATTAGGGAACATTTGAGGACCTCCTAAAAACAACTTCTTTTTCAACCAAATATGCTAAAGAAGGAGATTTTTTCCAGAAGTGACTAAGATACAAAGATAAATTGCATCAATAAGATGTACATTTAAAACTAACTACATTCCTTAGGGTTAGACTCAAAAGGGGGACAATAAGTTAAACTAGGAAGCCTTGGACACCGAGTATCTCAAGGTCTCTGTCTCTAGCCCTTCCCCCTGCCCCTCCCCCAACAATCCAGAATCCTCTTTTCCTCCTGCCTGAGGGCCCATTTCACGCCAGTTTCTGCAAGGCACAGTGAATGATGCTTGCCTAGCACCAATGGTTCTGCTTACAGCTCTAGAGAAGAAGCCGGGGGTCTCCTGCCTCTAAGCCCAGCATCCCTCCCCACCATATCACAAGGCCTTCCCTACATGTAGTACAGCACTCCTTCCACAATACTCAATATAAATGATTTCCAGGAAGAACACTTAAGTAGATGACACAGCAAGTAAGAACCAAAGTAAAATTAAGTAGCAGCATCTACAACTCAAGCCAACCTTACATAGCCTGACACCCAGGGAGAGGGCCCAGGTTCAAAGTCCACCTCCAATTCTTATTATCTATGTCACCGAGAATAAGGTGATGCATTAGGAGGATCACACGATCATCTCTTGGTCTCAACAATGAGGGGGTTGAATTGAATGCTCTCTAATGTATCTTTCAACTATCAATCATATGATCCCATGAACTTTATACACTGAAGTCTTAAGTCTTGTTCAAAAACAGGTTTTCGGAGCTTTGATGCCAGCTTCTTCCCACTCTGGGCCTTAATCAGCCCCCAGGCAAATTGCGTTTCCTAGCTCTGAGGAGGTGTAGGGCATGCACTCTCTCCGCTACATTGCGCAATTTTTAATTTCACGGACCCAGAAACAGTTTACATGACAAATGCAACAAGACGTAGTGGAAGGAACACTGATCTGTAACTAGGAGACCCGAGCTCTGCAGTCCCAGCCCTGTTACCGCCTGTGCGACCTTAACTGGATCTCAGTTTCCACATCTGTAAAATGAGGAAGGAGGACTAAGTATTCTTTAAGGTCCTTGCCACCTCTAAATCTATGATGTGGATTTTTTTTTATAATTAGCACAAAGGAGGTTCTTTAGTCCCTTCCCACACCCAAAGCCCAATGACCCCAAAGACCATGCTAGTATCAATGGAATCATCAGAAGTAATTATTATTGGTGATTATCCTATGAATGTTATGACCCGTATTACAGAAGCTCATTCACGTGGGCTAATTCTGCCTCAGATTTAGCTGTCGGCTTCTACACAGTCGCATGAAATGCTTCTTGTATGGCAGAATGGGGAGAAGAGAACCCCACGGAACGGAAACGAGATCAAGCCAATGATTAGGATTCCTATTACAAAGCAAAGGAGAACCCATTGGTAAAGACTACTGGAGAAGGGGACAGAGTTTGGGGAAGAGAGGGATGAAGAGAGTCGAAAAGCAGCACTTCATGGAGAAACTCCTACTGGAGAGAGCCGATTCAACGCCAAACGTGAAATATGCTAAAGGGCCTATGAACCTAGAAACCCAGCTTGTCAGTTTTCCATTTCCCTGGCCTGTTTGCTTCAGACCACACCAAGAGAACAGGCAAGACACTTTTCTCCACCTTATCCTCCTTTAGAGAAATGAGAGAAAGACTTGGCTGTGTTCCCAGAAATCCCACTCCTCCCAGGAACATGGAATTCCACCCCACTATGGATTCTGATTTTATTTACAAGACCAGCAGCTTTGCCTAAGATCCAGGGAGAATCAGGAACCCCCTAAGAACAACCCAACTGTAGACCATTAAGTCAGCTGGCTGCTCTCCAAAGAGACGCTGAGCAGCTTCAGAAGAAAATCTATTTTCAAGGAAGAAGGTCTGTGAAAATGGAACTCACACTGAAGTTCAAAACCAGTGTCAGATGCTGGTATCTAAGAGGCAGCTCTGTTTCCTCCAAAAGCTCCCTATAAACCAGAAAACAGGAAAGTGGAAAATAGAAACCAAATGACTGTTTAAAGATGTGAGGGCAAAGTTATATCAAAACATATCAGCAACATAGCAGTTACACCCATAATTTATTTCAGCAGCAGCAACAATAATAATGATAATAATAATCATGCTTTCTATTGTTTAACATCCACTGTTCTTAGAACTCCAAATGTTTTAAAGACATTACTGCCATTACAGGACAAGAGCACTGAATTTGGAGTGAAAAAATCTGGGTTTGAATATTTGCTCCATTACAGAGCACTGATGTGACCCACATTTCTCAAAGGAAACGTAGTAATCATTTGGACTCGTATACTCCCAAGTATATTTCACAAGGCATGACAAGCCTTGAATGGGAGGGAATGCTCCTTGCTACAGCAAAGCCCTCTACACATACCTTTCCTCCCATCCCTTGCTGTGTTCTCCAGCAGAATGCCTCCTCCAACATCCCAACTCTCTTGCTGATCTTCCACCTCCCTGGTTCCTGGCTCCTTCTCTGCTGGCCACAGATACATGCGTGTCTTCACTTGATCCCACCATCCTTAGTAGTGATCTCCCTAGAGTTCTCAGTCCCTTCCCTGTTAATCACCTCGAGAAAGCCTTCTGCATTTGGTGCTCCCCCTTTTCCTCTCACTAGATTCTAATCCCTCGGCAATCTTGCTTCTGACCTCATCAGTTAACTGAAACTACTCTCTCCGAAGTCCCCAGTGGTGTCTGCCAAGCCCAGCAGCCTTTTCTCAAGCCTTGCCCTTCTTGACCTCTCTCCTCTGGATACCCTTATTCTTTCCTACCTGTCTTGCTGCATCTTCACCTGAGCTGAGCTCACTAACCATGGCATCTTCCACTGTGGGCCCCCTTCTCTTCTTCCTCTGTACTATCTCGTTTAGTAATCTCATCAGCTCTGGTGGTCTCAATGAACATCTCTATGGAGTTGATTCCCAGACCTTGGTATCCAGCCTCAGCTTTCCCCTTGAGCTCCAGGCTAGGCTCTCCAAGTGCCTCGTGGACATCTTGAACTCTCAAACTCATACGTTCAAAAGAGAGCTCATTATCACTCTCCTTAAACATGCTCACTTCTCCCAATTTCCCTTTTAGTGTAGAGGGTGCCACCACCCACCCAGACGTCCCGGCTCACAAACCATCCAACAAGTCATTCTTAACCCCTCTTTCACACAAAGCCCACAGAGCCAAATCTTACTGCTTCTTTCTAGCTTCACACTGTCTTTGCACACACACAGCTGCCACGCTGGAGAAGGCTTTCATCAGTCATCAGTCGAGGCCTCCCCAGATGCTGGTCCATCCTCTGTCCAGCTGCCAAAATGATTCTCAGCAAACCCCAGGAGTCTCCTATTACCTCCAGGATCAAGTCTAAATTTGTCTGTTTGGCATTTAAAGCCCTTCATATTCCAGCCCTTTTCTATATTTCTGTCTTCCTAGGCTTCCCTCTACAAAACCAGCAATACTGGCCCACTTGCTTTCCGAGGTGGTGAGATGACATAGTGGATACACAGTGGAATCAGAAAGACCCGAGTTCAAATATGACTTCAGATACTTATTAGCTATGTGATCCTGAACAAGTCACGTAACCTGTTTGCCTCAGTTTCTTCATCTGTAAAATGGGAATAACAAGAGTATCTACCTCCCAGGGTGGTTGTGAGGACCAAATGAGATCGTCTTTGCAAAGCCCTGTGTATTACACATTACTCCTCCCACACAACTCCAACTGCCATCTCCAGGTCCTTTCTAGGGTTGTCCCTCATACCTGAAATGCCCTGCCCCCTCATCATGAAGTCTTCAGCTCAACTCCCTCCTTCTGTTAGCCCTTCCCCCCTAACACGAGTCTTGTATTTTCATAGCTGTTCACACACTGTCTTCCCCATTAGCTTGGGAACTCCTCGAGGGCAGGGACCATGTTTTTTGCCTCTCTTTATATCCCCAGTGCTTTGCACAGCACCCGGCACTTAGAAGGCCTTAAAAGAGGTGTGTTGATTGATTGGTTTCAAAAGTTATTCAGCAGCCAACAAAATGACGGAGCAAAGGGGCCTCAATGAAAATAGTTACATGCAAGAAGGTCACATGCAAAACAACACTAAGATGAACACTGGCTGAAGGAAATGAAGCATCTCGTATAACACGGTCAAAAGAAAAGCTAAGAATGAGAAGAAGCAGCTAATCAGGTGTGTATCTAGTACAACTAAGGGCCCATGGCAGGCATCGCTCATGGAATGACGGCCCAAAGGCACAGTCACAAGAACCATAGTCCAGCAGCCCTTGGCTAACCTCCTAAAACTGAGCATTCACAGACACTCCACAATCAGAATGCGTCCCTCTCTATTCTTCTTGTACCCTGGCTGCATCCAAGTGCCTCCTCTGGTGTGGTCCCGCCTCACTGGCAAAGCATCACTGTACTTACTATTCAGTGAAGAACCTGGCAATGCCGTATTGAGTAATATCCTCTCTGTTCTCCAGCAGCTGGCTCACTGCATCCTCCATGTACGTGAGCACATGTCGCTGAGCTGCAAACCAAAAAGAAGAGGGAGAGAAAGAGATTAAAGCACAGACAAAGTCCTGCACAAAAGAAGGAGCCAGTCCCAAGGGCTCCTCTATGTGCACAGAGGTCACAGAATGAGTCCGCTACCCAATATACGGTAGAACCACAGTGCACTCCCTGCACCACAAAGTGGAACAAGGAAGGGAACTGTCTAGAAGTATCACCCTCTTTTTCTTCTCTTTGGGTTTTAAAGACAGGCTGAGACGGGAAACTGGAGCTGTGTTGTAGTATAGCAGAAAGGCCTGAGAGTTGTTCTCAAAGCCCCAAATTCCCTCAACCCCCACACCTCTATTCTTTTGCCTGTCAGAATAATTCACTCCAGGGAGTTACTCCTACAACTGATTCCATGCCTAGAAAGTAGATGTTTCAGGATGGTGCAGAAAAAAGAAAAATAAAGGCTTTTTTCTAATCACCAGAAGCATTTACTGGTCGTAAAAAGCATCTGAGGGATGCAGGCGTTGGAATCAGAAAGTTCCTGTTTAAATCCTGTCTGTACGACCATAGATAAATTACTGAACATCTAAGTGCCCTAGGCAACTGTCTCAGATGTGAATTGGTGGGGAGAGTTTCCACACCAGGAAGTTACACCACTTAAAACACATGTCCGGGGAGGGAAAAAAGCATCTGAACTGGTTGTACATGTATGTGTCACTGATCTTGGTAAATCACAATACCATTAAATCTTTAATGTAATTCAACTGAAGAAAAACCATACTTTCCACATCGATTGTGACTGAGAAAGTAAAGGTTATACATAGGTTTGAGAGTTGAGGACTGACCATTTCTACTGTCAACAATTACAATGGCACCATACAGAGGGATGAAGAAGAAAGGATGTTAGAAGTGGCATCAAAGGGATTAGATATGAATACGGCTTGACCACTTATTACCTGTGTGACCTTAGCCAAGTGATTTGACCTCCTTTGGCCTCAGTTTCACCACCTGTAAAATGAGGAGGTGACTTGGTTCTTTTTTTACCTGTAATCCATGATCCTATAATTCCTTTGTAGTTTGTGTAAGTGTGGGGAGAGGAAGAGAATTTGTCAAGACTGCCCTGATTAACTGATTTCGTCCCCAAGCCAGCTAATGAAATCACAGAAGGAGCAGGTAACTGAGATAAACCAGGTATGAGCTACAAAGACACAGTCTGAACTCCACTGTCACCTCTTTATGAAGTATAAAGTTCTCTTTAATGGAATTAGAGGGGCAGAAGACTAGCCATGTCAAGTTGGCTTTTAAAAGCTAGCTTGCTAGTTCTGGGGTCAGTTGAGGCCAGGAGAGCTTTGTGGAGTGTGACTCCTGGATAGAGAGAAGAGAGTCACCTTGGAGGAAGAACTCAGCTCTCAAGAGGGGATCGCTCCTTGCTTTTCTCTCTCCACAACCAGAGGGTAGTGAAGTAGAGCAGATTTCTCTCTCCTATTCCCCAACTGGCCAATCATCTCACATGTGTTGCAGTAGAACTACCCAAATGATAGAAGAAATCACACTCTGTAGCAAGAGAGCCAGTCAGTAGAGGCTGCAGTCAGGAGAACCCCTGGCAGCAGAGAAAAGATTCATCTATGGACTTAAGAGCAAATGAGGACTTAGGAGTCAAGCTTCAGAGAGTAACAGGCCCAAGCTGCCCAGCTGAGCAAGCTGCCCAGCATAAATGCTATACCCAGGGGAGACAGCAGGGTGAGGATACCCTTAGAAGAGAAAGGGCATCATAGCCCTACAGTGCAAGAGGTATGAATTGCCTTGGTCATGTGTATTCCTTACGTAAGTGCCTTACTACCAGTGAACTCTGTATACATTCACATTGGTGGAATGTTTTGTAGCTATCTTTCCTACTCTGTTATCTTAGCTGAGCTAATTTTATCTTTTTGGCTGACAACAGCACTTGTGAACTTGGAGGTCTTATGAATAAGGACCAATGGAGAACCTCTGAAACCTTGAGGCAGTGGTCACCTCTTAGGAAACCGGAGAGTGACAAGTTGGGGAAGCAGCTCAGAGGAGGTGTTATGCCTTATTTTTGCTTTTTTTTTTCTCAATTTCAATGGCACCTTATGGTTTACAAAGTGTTTTCCTTACCACAACTCTCTCAGGTAGGGAATACAAGCATTATTGACACCCATCTCACAGATGAAGAATCTTGTCCAGGGTCACAGATATAGTAAGTGGGGAACAGGGATTAAAATTCAAGACTCCTGAGTCCAAGATCTACAAGGAACCTTTCCATTATACCAACCTATCTTCACTCAGTGTCTCAGTTTTTCAACTTATAAAATGGGAAAAGCACTTCTTTCTGGAGTAGTAAGAATAAAAAGCCACATACTAAAATGATGTGCATGCTACCAGTCTCAAACAATTAACCAAAATTCTCATTTGCCCTTTGGTCACAGTCTCCTCACTCAAGAAAACATAGGGGTATCACCTGATATCCACACATAACATACACTTCATAAATTCTTATTCATTTAATAAATTCTATTCATTTACAGGTGACTAGGTTGACTAGGAACATAGGTTACAGGTTGACTAGGAATAAAAACATTCTACTGAAAGTCTGTAAAATAAATGAATTTAGCTATCAGAACTATAAATAAGTCTGTAAGTGATGTTATTGACTAGGGATTTCACAAGTTGGTAACTGGCCAAAGTCCAGATGAATAATGTTTACTTTTTGTGACTTGTTCTCCACAAGGGTTTTCCCAAGTTAACAATCAACTTTCACAAACACAAAAAAAGGGATTTCAACAAATCAGATTTCGTGTTTATATATTTTAACCAACAATGTGTTTTTATGCTTTGGAAGTCTTTTAAAGATTATCCAAATTGAGAATGAAGCTTTGAGCCACTACTCCCTTGGATTTGTGATCTTAAACAGAGGAGTCAGCCATCCAACAGTAGAGAGGGCAATCCATTATTGCCTTCTCATCCCATGTGATTCTTATCCATGTTCTCCTAGAAATATGCCACAAACAGGCCCACCCAACATGCTGAGGGATCTTGTGGAGCTCTTGACATTGCATTAGTACCAATGGAGCACAATGTCTATTCACCAATTATCCTTCACTCTTACTACATGACTGGCCCACCTACATTTCTTTGATAATATCTTGACACTGCTTTTCCTGTGCAATTCTTTATTCTTTGAAGTAATACATGACATTAGTGGTTTGCAAGATAGCAATCACTAAAGCAAAAATAGATACTAAAATGGGAAGAAAAAAATAGCAAAATAATTTGACACTACAGTCATCTTTTACTTGGAATCTTCAATTAATGATATGCTTTAATTGCATAGACAAACAGAAATGCCAATTGGTTTTCCAATGGTCAATACTTTGTACTTTTAGATAAGCTGATTGAAGGTGTATTTGGAACTTACCAAAGGACTGCTCCCTGAAAGTATCTGAAATTTTCTGCTTTTTATTCACAGAGGGTTGGTATGACTTTTTTTTTGTTTTTAACTTTCAGTTGTAGAAGTAGGTCTAGACTAAGTGTCTTCTGCTTATGTATCAAAGGTAGACCTTGAACCCAGGTGTTTCAAACTCCAAAGCCAGCTCTCCACTCATTACACCATGATGCCTCTCTTTTTGTTTAACTTATAAACATGTAATCTTGATTAACAGCAGAAGTTTTTTTTTTTAATAAGTAAGTAGAGACTTCTGGGTCATGTGAGCAACAATATGGTGGACTAGACAGTTATTCTGATCCCCACAACCTCTCACATCTTTCCAAAACAGAAATTATACACAAAGATAAAGTGACTTCACTGTCTCCCTGGTCTAGGTACAGGGGTGGGGAACCTGTGGCCTTGAGGTCACATGGTCACTGGTATCCCACCCCTGGTAGGACAACTAGAATCGAAAAGAAGGGGGAAAACCCATAAACTGAGGCTTACTGACCCAGAATTCACTCAGCCCCCAACTCCCGCCTCCCATGCTACCCATAGCAGGCTGTACTAGCAAACCCAATGATATAACACAGGCTTACATAAAAACCCACGCCTATACCTTGGTACTACCCTCCTCTTTTTTCAGTGCCACAGAGATTCTAGCTGCAGGCTGTGGAGGTTTGCTTGGATGACAGCCAGTTTGGCCACAGCCCTTCAGGAGCAAAAGTCTATCTATCTGGGGCTGCAACCCAGAAGCATCAGTGCTGCAAAGCTCAGATCTGCAGGTGCAGGGCCAGAGAACTGAGGAATAGAGGGAGTGGGACAAGTCACCAGGATGGGACACCATCCATGTGAGGGGGCTGTGCAGCACTCTATACCAAGCCTATGGAAAGAGCATAACACCTAGCTGGGGCCAGTTCTGGCCACCCAAAAGTCAGTTCAGGCTAGGTCCTAAGCTGTGAATTAACTGCTCAGTGATAGAGGAGGCTGAGACACTTTGAGATCCAGCCCCTAAGGGAGCCACAATCAGAAAGAGAGGGAGTCAGGAAGTGAATGATAAGGAAAATCAGGAGGAAAAAAGACTAAAAGAACCAAAGATTTCAGGAAGAAGAAAACTCAAAGACCTTGAACATAAATAGATAAATCAATGGGAAAAACAAAAACAACATAAGGAAATAGGGCCTCTAGATCTGGTAAATGAGTTCAGGCATCTTTGAATAAATACTGAAAAACAAAAGAAAATGATCCAACACTTAATGAGACAAAAGACCCTGTGGAATTTGAGGAGAACATGGAACTACAACATGCTGTTCCTGAGTGATTTAAAAGAGAAATGGGAATTATGAGAGTAGAATCTATGTCCTATGCACCAAAAAATAATGAACAGAATAGAAAAACTTGAATCTTCAATAGCAAATTCATCAGAAACAAAGGAGAGAACAATGGACTGGGACCATAAAAACACAGGAGTTAAGAACAATCTAGAAGAGAAACAAAAAGCAGTAACATTTTTTAAAAATATGCTCACTACATGGGGCAGTTAGGTGGCACAGTGGAGCACTGACCCTGAATTCAAGAGGACCTGA